TACAAACTTCACCCGCCTTTATTAAAAATCCTCACCAGCTAAAAAGTAATGACGACACGAAGCGACAGCAGAGCGTTAATTACGGTCGCCAGGTGGCGCCTATAGGCTGCATTGTAATTAGCAGAGACTGGCAGGCTAATCAAGTGTGTTGATGCGCAGGTGTCTGTTGGCTGCCAGCTCGGCTCGGTGGAGTTCATCCTCCCGGATTTGTTTCAAAGAAGAACCGGCCCTGTGGATAAGATCAGGGTCAAGTGGACTGCCGACAGTCGGGGAGGTCAGCGGTGACGGTGGAGAGGGGAGACATGTTTTTAAACGACTTCAGAAGAGCCTCGTTTCCTACTAAAGAGAAAAGGTAAGGTGTTTCGACCCTAGAAGCTAATTATGTGGCGGGTTTAAGGTGGTGTGTATTTAGTTTTGGGTCCTTGTGTGTTTAAAGACTAAGCCAGGCAGGCAGGGTGTCGCATCAGTTCATGAACTCTATGACCCGTGTTGAGGGATATCGCCCACAAGTTTTCATTCAGCGTGTCAGCCAGTGGATGGCGCTTCGCATCTTCCCTGTAAAAACCACTTGTGAATGACTTGACGTTGTGACTCTGTGCAGCCAGACAGACAGCAGGGAAGACAGGGGGCGTCAGACAGGCACAGAGCGAGAGCTGCTGCAGCCATTCATGTGGAAAACAGGCAGGCACTACAAGGATATGCACTCACTTTAATAAAGGTAAAATAATGCAGTCAAATACAATAAATCCCCCCTTCGTGGAGAGATGAAATGTTTGCTTTTTCAACTTTATTCAACTCTATGGAGACCGGTGAGTTGGATCCCGTGACATTGAAGGTGTTGATGATATTTTGTCCACACCTTTTTTTATATGAATGACTGTTGTCAGGTTGTGTTTTCTGTCAGTATAGTGGCTCCCATCTTTTTGAATGTGGAGAACATTTAAAGGAAAGGCTTAACACGTGTTAATGCAACACTCACATGCTCATGTATACAGCCTACAGCTGCCAGTTTATCAGTTACAACTGCAGACAGGTGACAAATTAAAGGAAAAACCTGAAAAAACAAGTGGAAAAGATTCATCAGACCAGGCTACGGGTTTCCAGTCCTCAGCTGCAGCCTCAGATTTCTGTCCTTGTGCTGACGGGACCTGAACCTGACGTGGTGTTCTGCTGTTGTTGTCCATCCACCTCAAGGTTCAACGTGTTGTGCACCTGAGACGCTTTTCCACTCACCACCATTGATAGGAGTGGTTATCTGCGTTACCGTAGCCTCAGAGTTGTACTTAAGCATATTAAAGCACCGAGGTAGTCCCGACCACACTCTGTATTTTTACTTTACTGTTACAGAGTTGATGAGACCCTGACAAAGAGGTGCTGGTGGAAACACCTGTGATTCCAAAGGTGAGATTTTCACCGCTGCAGCATCCAGAGGAACAGAAATAAGATTTTTAAAACTTATAGTAGTTAAAGATTGTTCAGCCTGGATGTGGGTTTTCTGTCCCATCTACAGTTTCCTCACTTTCCCTCGGGGAGAGTTACTTCCTCATGTTGTTGATTGAAGTAATGAGACAAGCCTCTGATCCTCAGTCATGGTTTATCTGTTCAGACCCACCCAGTTAAGAACAGTCTCTTATCGGAGAGATTGTGATGCTCATCCCAGCAACATTTATTCCACATTACCAGTACTTCATGAAAAATTATAAAATTAATTTACATAAGACTGGAGGCCTACATGATCATTTGCATGGTAAGCAAAACGAAAGCTCACAAAGCAACTATAGTTTGACATTTCAGTACATTACAGTATATGCTCTATGGATAGAAATGAACAGAATATCAAACTATTATTTAGCTTGTATCAAACAACCAAACAAGTTTAGTTTGTAACCTTAACTGTTTCCAAAGCACAGCAGGCTCTCGTTCATTGGTTAGAGATATGGCATGTTTTATTAATGATTAAAGCAGATATATGAACAATGGTTTCTGGAACAAGAGAGATAACACGGTGAGAGAATTAAAGCTGCTGCTGAGCTACAAAACGAGCAGATACAGACTCAAGGACAGTTTACTGTTTCTGACTGTTTGTCAAATGAAAGATTAATGCTTCTGTCAACTGTTAAATTATACAAATGAGTCATCGTTGTTTCACCGTGTTATCTGGAAAATAATCTGTACATGAGGGACTGTAGGCCTGCTCAGGAAATGGAGAAAAAGGGAGATAAGGGATGAAAAACAGGAGCTCTTGTATGTACTGCAGAGCATGTGTGAGCTTCAGGTTTTGAAAGTGGAATGGGTGCCCTGATTCAGTAGACTCTGTTTACTTGGCTTCAGAATATTCTGAAGAGATGACTCTCGCACCATATTTTCTCATGCTGAAAGTCGTCTGTGTCATCACTTTTTTCTCCCAGGAGAGCAGCAAGCCAGTGGCTCATGGTGGAGAAATGAAACCTTTAGATTGCACAACAGGCACGCCTTGTGTTTTTTGCCGCCTGCTTGGAATGCCATGGGGGCAGAGAGAGAAAGACGGGAAGAGCACTCATTGCAACCCATTGTTCAGTACTTGTCTCGCCTGGTGAGTTGCACCACAGTCTGTCATGCCCGTTTCTGTCTTTGGAGTTGATGAGTGAATCTGGGATTCAGACTATGTCAGACAGGTGGCTAAAGATATGAAAGCATTGGTGTTTGTTGGCAGTTGAAAAATGATTGTTTACTTTTTGAGTTTGTCAGATCTCATTATTCAAAGGTGCCGTATAGTTTTTGCTATTTGCTACACAGCCAACATTAGCATTAACAGCTGTTTACTCACCAGACTAGAAGAAACTTTGTGTTCAGCATCAAACTTCATTCCTTTACTTGCCAAGATCTGTCTCCAGCAACACTAATGTTCACCAAGCCCAGGGCTTGCTGGTTAGCATGCTAGCTTCACTAGATATCTCCACAACACACTACATAGATGTAGACTGTTATTCCTTCACATTCTGCTGATAGCTTTAGTTCATTTTTGAACGTTTTAAGCTAGAATACTCGCGTAAGCAGCATCCGAATGATCATTATGTGTTACTGTATCACTTTGAAAAATATTCTTTTGATGTCACACATTTTGCCTGTGTTGGACAATATTTTACTCAGTTCCTTGGGGAGTAAGAGCAAAGATCCAATAGGTGTAAATGCATCGCTGTGCAATTTACTGGAAAAATTGAGAGCTGAATCGATTAGATGTGCTACAGACAATTAATTTGCTAATAATTTGACTCAACACACAACACTTGCTGATAACAGCCTCTTAAATGTGAATATTTAGTGTTTTTCTTAATTTTAATATCTTTGTAAAAAAGAAAATGACTTTAAAATCATGGTTACGGTTTGTGGACAAAGTTTTCTTGCCTCTTGTAGCTAAAATGTGCTGCGGCCATGCTCATAGAAGAAGCTGATCATTGCAAACAGCAAGAAACGAAGGCATTAGGTTTGCCTTTAAAAACCAAGAAGTGGAGAGTTTTGAAACAGTGAGTTCATTATTGATAAACCACCTGCAGATTTGTTCCGTGGTATCGGAGAAAATGTCAGTTATCACAATTTTCCATCCTTTTTATTGTAGTTTGTGCCCAGAGAACATAAACAGAACAGAGGAAGATTCATAAAGGAGAGATGTTTGGGCTGCCAGCCAGGCATTCTTGTCTCAGTGTGACTTCCATGGAAACGAGGGGCTGAAAAGCTTGAAATGGAGAGATAGAGAGAAGGTTAGAGGAAGGAGGAGAGGCGGAGAGCAGGAGGACGCTGGAAAAATGAGCTGTTTGTACAAGGACGTGTGACTCAGAGTGGCCGCTTCAGAGACTGACGGCTCCTTTCCACTGCAAGGCCACACTGGAGCCAGGATACTCCCTTATAGCCACTGAGCCTGCCCCATGCCCAAAAACAGATGCTGTCTTGCCCCCTTGTTTAACCACAGGCGAATACAAAGTAACACACACACACACACACGAATGGACAAACCTTCATTTCCATGGTGAGGAGATGCATACACACACAGACACACACAGAAAACGTCTTTTTCTCCTGCATCAGACTTGATTGGACCTGTGATTCCATTAACTCCACCCCAAGGAAATAAATATAAGACCAGAATCAACTTGGATTTGAGTGTCAGAGCTTTGCACTTTCAAGATGACATGTGGGAATTATTCTATCATTCACTGGGAATATAATATGAAATATTTGTGGACTTTTTCCTCCATGGAGTCACTGGACGAGCTTGCTGACAGGTTATTATTGTTCTGCCATGGATAACAGCAGAGCCCTGCTATGAGGAGATCAATGATATGTATGTATTTGACTTGTTTGATTTCCATGCTATGTTTGTTTGACTGTCCTAAGTTTAGCTCTGGTCCTTTCTACAGCACTGAGGATTTTCTTTTCACTGTATAAAACCGAAACAGAAATTCCTCTTCCATGTATTTGCTTTAGAGTCGGCTGTCACAGCTGTTTTCAACCAGAAAAGTGGGCTAAGAATGTATTCCTCATAGCAGCAGGGAAGCAGGATCAGGGTGAGAGTCGCACATTCACACACTTTCATCCACCTGGGAGCTGTTCAGTATCATCAGTGTCACCGCGTTTTATTGACAGACCACTTGCACCAGTCGCTGAGGTCAGTCTGTCTGCGAGGGCGCTGTCTGAGTGAAATGAGAAAGGAAAAGATATGGCCAGTGCAGGGAGAGATAAAGCTCAGCAGCTGCTCTGTGTGCGCACACACACACAACACACACACACACACACACACACACACACACACACATACACAGTCTGTCTAGTGTGATTCGTTGCCCCACCCTCCCTCCTTCTTTTGCTCCCGCCCCTCTCCCTCTTCAGCAGTAGGTACATGTGCAGTGAGCGACAGCTAGGAAAGCAGTTCAGGGCACGAGCCAAAGGCACACACACCCACCAGCACAGAGCAAGACTGCATTATTCAACGGATCCTCTTCTCTCCGCTCCTCTGGGGTATGGCACACACACTCTCACAGCAGCTTACACACACTCAAACCAGCACTCAACTTCCAGAAAGGTCCTGTACAATCAGTCCTTCAGCAGGCTGCAGTCGAGAGGTTCTCTCACAACCGAGGTAAGGTTCAGAGTTTCCACAGATCTCCGTCTCCCTCTGAGACTTTATGTCGGTCACACTGATAAACAGTGCTCGTTTAACTTGTTCAGTCAGCTCAAAGCCGTTTTCATTGTCATTTTGGCAAGGAGTGGCGTGGAATAAGTTTGTAACTTGTAAAAGTTTTTCTTTTTTTTTTCTTTTTTTAATGTCTGCTGTTACTGAAGAGTGGAACATCAGACAGCACATTTTGGGAGCTTAAATGGATGCTTCATTTATTCAAAGTTAGTCCAGAGAGTACTTGTGAGTGTATGGGTTTGCTCCTGTGGGCGTGTGCACACATCATGTGCATGCATGTGTGCGCCATCCCACCCACATGGGCGTGCAAGTCCTTGTGTGCACTTTTGGTAATGGGCGGTGAGGGGATGGATGGCAAAGTTTGGTGCATCCACCCACTCCTGAACCAAACTGGAGAAGGCTTTCCTGCTGTACTTTGGCAAAGGGCTGTTAGGTTGTGAGTGGAGCAACTGCTGAGAAATAAAATGGCTCTTAAGTTCCACCTGTTCAGCCACAGGTGCCATCGATAATAACAGTGCTCATGCCTTTATCAATATTGTGGAATTCTTCCATACTTGCTGTTTCAAGTTGGATTCATAGCTTGAAATTTTCCTTTCCTTTACGATATTGGAGGCATCTTCCATTTGGAAAAAAAAAGATTGTTCTCTTTGTTCATTTATAATTCACCTTAAATTTAATATTAGATAATTAATGAAGAAAATTCTGGATTGTAGCTTCAATGACAGAAGTCTTTAACACAGAGCCATCTTATTCATTTGACTGTTACTACACATCTAAGGAGCCGTATGTCCTTATCAGGGCATCCTGCAGTATGTGTTTATATTATGAGTCAACACTTTGGTATTATAACTGATGCTCGGGCTAGACTTTTTTTTTTTTTTGTGGTTTGCCTCCATTTCACCAAAAACTGTGAAGAGCTGAGGAGGAGGAGGAGATATGTTTTTATTCATTTTTCCAATGTGCAGCTGCACATTTTACGAGTAATTATAAAAATATGTAATTGCTTTGTGTTTAGTCGGTGAGCCGAAGGTGGAGGCTGGTGTTCGTAAGGAACGTGTTTGCTCAGGAGTGAGCTGCATAAAGTGGCTGAACTGCTCCTAAAACAATTTACTGGGGCCAGAGGAGAAAACAGCAAGGCGCATGTTATGACTGTGTGCTCCACTTTGCAGTGAAAATGCTGGTGTGAATAAGGGATGTTATCAGCACTGAAAGCAGGAAAAAGGCAAGGAAACGGTACCTCCTTCTTTTATAAAATAATAGTAGTTATCTGAAACTTAACAAACAAGAAGTAAAGAAAACAGAGATTACGTTCCTGTGAAAATCACTTTTAATTCTTAGGTATTAAATTAAGCTTTAAAGATGGGCTCACTGATTGGAAAAAGGATCTTGGAATATATTGTCATGCAGAACTGTGAGCAGACCCAGCACCGAAGGCGGGCTGCCCAGACAAGGATCAGGTTTATTCAAGTTATTCATTTTCTCACTATAACTCCATTAAAGTTTAACATGTGACTCAGTCCGTGGTTTGGTGCACTGCGTTTCTAGGGAAGACAGTCCTAGAAACGCCTTGTAGTTTCACTGTGGATACCATAGTTTTCATTAACTCTTCTCGCCCTCCTCCCCCACAGCCAGTGACTCACCCCCTCTGCACCTCTTGCTGAGCCATTATTGCCATGGAAACCCCGAGCCAGAAACGCACCAGCCGTGGTCACACCACCACCCTCTCGCCGGCCCGCATCACCAGGCTGCAGGAGAAGGAGGACCTGTGCAACCTCAATGACCGCCTGGCGGTGTACATCGACAAGGTGCGTTCGCTGGAGGCAGAGAATGCCGGGCTGCGGCTGCGCATCACTGAGTCCGAGTCCTCAGTCACCCGCGACCTGTCGGGCATGAAGACAGCCTATGAGACAGAGCTGGCCGACGCCCGCAAGACCCTGGACCAGGTTGCCAAGGAGCGAGCACGTCTGCAGCTGGATCTGGGCAAGATCAGGGAGGAGCACAAGGAGCTTAAAGCCAGGTAGGAGGAGCATGATAGGGCGGAGCTTGAATGGGAGGGGCTATAGTACTACAATTGTGTGCATGAAATGGATGTAGCTTCACATACAGTACATGTTATCATATTTATTGAAAATAATGTATTTTAGCTTATAGCAACATGCAGTTAGTACTTGGTGCATCTCTCAGAATTTTCAGTGCACTGTTAAATGCATTGGAATAAAAGAGGCCTTCATGTGGTTGTAACCATCCATAAACCCTTCAAGAAGTACTGCAGTATGGATGACATAACATTTATTTGCTGTTATCAGGCTCCTCTGTGGGGGAATTCCCCAGCTTTTCTGTGATCCCACAGTAACTCAGGAATGTCTGTGACTCGGATTATAAACAAGCCCAGTGATGTTTATTGTGTGGCATAGTATGAAATGATTATTCAGATTAATTGTCCTTTTGGGTTTTACACACAGGTGCTATCTGACCCATTTATGATAACATTATTAAAGCGTTACGTTGTGCCTCTGTACTTGCTGTATCACATCAACCAGTGCAGGTTGGTTGTTGCATTGGTGTCCCTTTTTAAAATTAGCATTATTCATAATGCTCCGGAGCCATCAGCGTTTCAGCTTTCTCAAGAGACTTTTATTTTTTTTTTATGTTAGTGTGTTTCCAAAGCATCTCATAGCCGTGGTTAAGGCGGCGCTGCAGTCAAAACAGCTGAACACATGGATCTGAATGCTGTAATTTTACCTTTTGTGCTGTTATGCCTCCAGTTCACACCTGTTGTTGTTGTTGTGCGGTATGACTGAGGTGGTGCGACACCCTCATTTTCTAGCAGGAATGCAGTGTGGAGTGTGGAGCCATACCCTACATTAGTATTCTAGATGACATTCCTGGTGGTTAAGTTTGTATGACTCGTCATAGCAAGTTCAGTTATGTCACTTCAAGATGGTGGAAATGACACACGTCCCACGAAATAGACTCCACCTTTAACACACAGCCTGCTCTGTTTAGTGAGGCTTACTGCTCTAATGTCAGAATGTCTTTAATCACAGTGTGTGGCTCTGCTGTGTGATAACTTGACTAAATAGTGACAATATGGACAGAAGTGTAGAATTCACATCTGTAGTCTGCTGTACTCTTGACGGAGTTAGATAAACTAGTGTGCAGCGAGTACAAATCAGTGGACTGAGAAACGTGTGGAGCAAAAACTACTTTTTAAACAGTTTGTATTCATTAGAAATAAAACAAACAAACTTCTGTCACTTTACATTGCAGCAGAAATATTATGTGCAGCTCGATGCTTCGTTACATCCTGTAGGAGTCCACTGCATCACTAGCAAACATTTAGAGTTAATATTTTACTATCAAAAAAGTCACCTAGACCTTTGAGCAAACTTGGCACTGAAGGTGTGTGTGTGTGGGTGTGGTAGTAAATGAATGACTGGCTTAAGGTATTGTGGAGTATGATTTAGTAGAATTATATTATTTCTACTATCTCTTTTAAGATGCTTACTGACAGTACAGTATGAAATTTTCCTGTCACCTGCAGCTTCGTCGAATGTGTTATTGTCAGCTGTGATTTCTGCTACGTAGGTGAATGTCTGCAGACTACTGTCACAGAGCTCAGCCAGTGGTGGCTTCTCAGGAATGTGGCAACGTCTTGGCATAGTGCATCTCAGGTTAGAGGGGTCTGAGAAAGTGCAACTACTAAATATAAACTATTTGCACTCCCCCCACTGCATTTACCTGCACGTGCTCCTATCACAGAGATTCCCTTTCCCTGTTTACAGTCGAGAATGTAGAAGTAGAGACATTCAACACATGCTCTAAAATGGAAAAAAAAAGAAACTGGGTTTTAACACGACGAATTTCACTGCTGAAACGCCAGTGTGTGTGTGTGTGTGTGTGTACACGTGTGGTAGGGAATGCTCTCCCCCAATTACTGCTATTGTGGTCTTTTCGTGAAGTTGGCATTTTTGTTGAATGGGGACTGTGAGGCATGTGAACTCAGTGGGAGTGGTTCACGGCTGCTGCATGTGGAAAGATAAATAAAAATTTGAATCGTGTATAGGAAGTGTACCTTCAGTGTGGCTCGCGTGTACTCTGCAGCCGTGTATTTCGCTCGTGGCCTTCATTGTGGTGTCAGTGGTGCAAAGCTCATCAATCTGTGGTTTGTAAATTTGCACATGCTGTAGGTGGGTGAGGATGTTGACTTTGTTGCATGCTCCGGATAAAAGGCAGTGTGCGCCCTGCGATTGTTGAGAGAACAGTATTATCAAATTTTGTAAATGATCTCCACAGTATCCCCCTGCCTCTGTGCCTCTCCTTACTCTCCAGCTACTTGTCTAGAGAAGTAGCAACGGCTCCTGAAGTAATATTGTTTTCCAAAGGAAGCAGATCTTTTGACGCATGTGTGGTCTGGGCCGGCTTTATCTGTTATACTTCAGCCCAGCGTGTTTGGTGTTTGGTTGTCATGGAGCTCTGGGAGTCTTGGCTCGGCAGACGGGGTGGTGACTCAGAGGTTTTTCATGGCCTCTGGAATGGACTGACTGTGGACTCACTGTAACGGGAAGTCAGGTTTATTAATACACACTGACGGGCTTCTTCTGACTCGCCGCTGAGCCGAGCCTCAGGTGGCGACAGCAACAGACGGTGGTTTAACAAACACTACAGTGCTACGTCTCACAATATGTTGACTTTTTTGCTGATGTCCTTGGTTATTCCTCCCGAGTTTGACAGAACACACAACAACAGGTGGAGCCATCAGTGCAGTTCAGTTGACTGGACACACCTGTTTAGCCCAAAGGCACGACACTGCGTCTCTTTACAGACATGTCTTTGTATGCATAACTACTACAAGGAACACATGCTCTCCCTCCTGAGGCAACCCTTCAAACTGCTGGCCCAGAATGCCAACCATTCTCCCTGCAGCACTATTTGACTTGTAAATAATTCAAAACTGTAGAAAAAAAGCAAATAACCTGGCAAAAGCAGGTGTGGGAGGAATGTGGCACTGTAAAAGAAAGTCTAAACATAAATCTCAGAGCCATGTACGCAAGTTGAGGAAGAAAAACAGGTCAGAAAGACTAAATCTGAGCCCCTGAGCTACTGCAGGAGCCACAGAACCATGTTCACAGGTTGATCAAGGGCTTGTTTAGTCATCTTCCCTGTAATACTGAAATAGTGCTCCTGTCTGGTGTCTCGTGTCCAATCTAACCTCCAGCTGTGCCGCTGGCTGTGAAGCATTATCTTATGTGGGGGAACCGGCTCATCAGTGTCACTGCCAGTACTCGTTCCTGAAGTCCTGTCTCAGCGCCCCACCCACGCAGATGTGGAACTTTGTCTTTAGTTAGTTTAGTTTAATTTACTTTATCAACCTTTTTTTTTTTTTTTTTTGCAAAAGACAAATTTAAAAACTACATTAATGTTGATACAGTATTATCTGCTGCATGCATGCGTCTGCATACCCACGCTATCTAAATTCAAAACCCAACACCTTTTTTATGGATATTGTAAAGGACTAAGTGACTCTTTGCTTTTGTCTGATAAGGATGAGACTCAACTGGAGTTGTTGAATAGTTAACAGCCAAGCCCTTCGCCTGTTCAGTCCATTCTGAATACATAAAAGCAGGGATTTACCCCGGCTCAGTCTGCCCCGCCCGTCGGCATGGTGTGGTTCAGGGTGTGGTTCAGGGTGTGGCACCAGGTAGATGAAGCTCTTTTTTTGTTTGTTTTTTCTGCTGCCAGTCTGTTGGAACAATGTTTTTAAAATGAATCAAATAAGTGCTGTGGTAGACGAAACGTGACGGGACATGTTCAGCTGCAGACTGAAAAAGATCCAGTCTTGTACTTTACATGCTCTTAATGTTGTATCCAAGGACTGATATGTAATGTTGAGGCTGACTTGTGGCATTCACAGCTATCAAAGAACACAGCAGGAAATGCACTTATCATTTAACACATTCACATTTCCTTGATTGGGAATATTTTCTTTTGCCATTTGCTTTTCAGTATGTATTGCTCCTACTAAATATGACCCACGTGTTTTTGCAGTTAGGGAGTGATGTCACTTATTAAATTGTGTTGGATAAGATCACCCTTAGCTCTCTTTCATTAAGACTTTTTTTCCCCCACAAACTACATTTATTCATAATATCCCATTGACGTGCAAAGCTGTATTCTGCCCTTACTTCCTTTCCCCCGGCAACACATGTACATATTTTTATTGTCCTCTCAGAGCTACACAATAGACACTGACATTCATGCTCAAAGAAAAGAAGGTGTCGCATCCTAGGCAACGCATACAATGTGATAAACAGAAACTTTAATATTCAGCCAACCTGTATCCTGTGAAAGGAAAATGGGGAAGTAAAAGGGGGAGAGCATGATGGAGTGGTAGCGGCAGTAGATGTCATAAGTTAGTGGTCTAGTATTAGTCATAGCTTGAGTTTCAGTGGGTAAAGTTCCTATATTTACCTGAGGGGAAATTTTAAACACATCTCTAAGGTAACACAGTATACATGTGTGCTATTATTGGACCATGTTATGGATAACAGGAGGACTCATGTCAAGTTTGTTGAGATAAAATGTTTGTGTTCAAAGTCTCTTCCTAAAATGGACAAGAGCAAACCTGCACTCCCCTTCTGATCGTGCAGTTAAGCCTTTGAAATGTGAAGCTTTCTTTCAATAGACTTGTGGAATCGGTTCATCATTGTACTGGTTTTTTTTTTTTCTTTCTTTTCTTTTCTTTTTTTTTTTTGCGTATGCGACTGGGAAAGTACCGCTGACTGAGCAGCTCTGCCCTCTACTCTGCCGAAGGACTGGCATTATAATGACTGAGGAATCAGTGTGATGCACATAACGAAGTACTGAGTGATGGAAAATATTTATATTAAGGAAACTCCAGGAAACTAATTTCAAATATATAATATATATAATATATATATATATATATAACACACACACACACACACACACACAATCAGTTATCATTATTGATCATAATCTGCAGAATATTTTCGT